TACATGGAGATGAAAGCAACACTGAAGTCCCCATTTACACAAGTTAGATCAGAAGTTAAAATAGAATGTGACGTCCAGTGCTGGTCAGGTGGTGAGTGACACTGGAGATTCCTACATTACTGGTGGCCATCTGAATTGTTATAAACCATTTGGAAAGAAATATGATGATGCATATCAAAACCCATAAAAAATATTCATACCGTCTGAGCTACATATTGCTCTTCTAGCAGTTTATCCTATAGAAAGAAATTGACAACAAAAAAAGCTATATGATTGGTGTTTCGGTTTTTGCATAATAATCAAAAACTGATAATAAATGCTGAAGAAAAAGATACAGTACAGAGAAGTTTCATGATCATAAACCAGAATTAAAATAATTATACTAAAAGATTTATATAGAGAAAATTTTTATAGTGAAATGACAAAAAGGACAACATAAAATTTAATATTGTATCAAGATAATAATTATAATTATGCAGAATGAATTATACCTTTTAACAAAAGAAGAAAGGATGCAAAAGTATGAAAATATTTGTATTGGGGTATCATGATGGTGACTTTTAAAATAAAAAGTCGATTTCTTAATTTTGTTATGTTAATCTCTGATTTGGATAAAAATATTAAAAAGAAGGGAAAGCCTCCTCATGTAGATTTTAAGTTAAATTCCGGGTATATTTCTATCTTAGCTCTTGTGACTTCTACTTGGACCTGCGACTTGTGGACAGACTGACCCGTTGTCCATCCCCAACTCTGCTACAGGGCAAGCTGCAAACACCTGGCTGCCCCATGGCTCCCTGATGTCACTCCTGTGCCACTACCCTGGCAGAAAACGAGGAGGGACATGGTTCTGCCGGCTCCCCGATTCCCCCTTCCTGTTTGAGCACAGCATCCCTCTTGGCTCTATAGTGCCTGCTGAGAACAGCACACGTCCACCCCTTGAGACGTGCCCAGCTGATTCAGTATAGTGAGAAGAAAGTCCAGACCAGCTGATTACAAGTACAAAGTGTGAGCTTACACAATTAGCTTGGAACAGATCGAAGGAGGATGCCGCTGGGAACTGTGTGCTCGCCTTCACCCCTCTCCCCTTCCATTTCCTAGTTCCCTTCTTAGGGCCAACCTCTCAGTCACTGTTTTCCTGCAGGTTGACCCTACTTTCACCTGCAATTCAGTTCAGCCGTCTTCAGTGCCATATATACTGTCCCAAGCCCATGGCTTTCAAAGGCAAGGTCCCTGGTCTCAAGGAGCTTGCTATCCAATGGGAAAACAGACATTAAAACCCCAAAATGTTCCTGTATAAATGTGATAAGTTTTAAATCTGACATCTGGCAGCACACTCAGGGAAACACAGAGAGGGTGCTGGAAGGTTAGAGATGCATTATTGGGGGTTAGCTAGATAAAGAAGTCCGAGGGGGAATCTTGTAGGTTGGGGTGGAATGAGATGGAGGATGCTTGAGGCAGAGGGGTTAGTATCAGCCAATACCAGCCTGAAAGACAGCAAGACAGTGGGCTTAAGAACTACCTTGCAGCTCTCTGATTATTTTAGTTACTTAGTTACTTTAGTGTCCAGGATCCACTCCTTCTAATCATACTGTTATGCTAGAGAAGCCCCTCTCTCAAACATCACACTTGGAGACCCCCAGTTCTTGGTCCATTTTTTCTCTCCTGTTCTCATCAGTAGTCCTGTCATTGCTCTTCCCACTTCTCCCCAAGGGCACCTGCCTTTGCTGCATCTTTCTTTCTGACCCCACGTTTAAATTTCCCACCACCACCCCACCACTCTTCAGCCTCTTGTCTATACCTGGGTTGAGGCAGGGACAGGGAGGGCAAAGAATTTTCTGCAAAGCAGCTCCCAAGGTCAGAGCTGACAGCCAAGGAATGACTCTCGTGTTGCTTGACTTAGGACATATTCTAACAAGAGGCACCCACTTGTGGAGGGCTCTCATAAAGGACCCACCTCAGTCAGCTCTCTTCCTCCCAACTGTCCATGTGCTCTGCTTACCAAGAACAACCCATGAAATGAACCTTCTTATTCCCTTTGTTTTACACTGCAAGTTAAAAGTCCAAGCAATGTCCACTTGTGGAAATGTGTGACCTTGGACATTGTTAACTTTTCCCGAAATGGGTTTCAAGGCATGTAGAGGAAGTCAGGTTATGAGTTGCTACACTCAAAAAATGGTACTATTAGGTTTTTTTCATATCCCAATGACCTTATTTCCAGTGGTAGATTCAAGAAAGTAACAGTGCAACATATGGGTGAGCAACTGATTTCCAACAAAAGTCTGAAGACCATTCGATGGGGAAAGAATAGTTTTTTTCAATGAATGATGCTGGAACAACGAGACATGTACATGCAACAGAATGAATTTGGACCCCTACCTCAGGCCTCATAAACAGTCAGCTCAAAATAAACCAAATACCTAATGTAAGAACTAAAACTGTAAAACTCTCGGAAGGGATCATAGGGCTCAATCTTCAGGACCTTAAAGTAGGCAGCGGTTCCTGAGATATGACACCAAGAACTCAAGTAACAAAAGAAAAATGAAATAAACCGGACTTCATCAAAATTAATACCTCTTGTGCCTTGACAGTCACTTCTAACAAAGTGAAAAGACAATCCACAAATTGAAGCAAATAAGAGTCTAGCGTACTGAATATATAAAGAACTCTTACAAATCACTAACAAAGATGCAAACAACCCAATTTAAGAATGGGCAAAGGACTTGAATAGTTTGTTAAAGAAGATACACAAACGGTCAATCAGGACATGAAAAGATGCTCAGCATCACTAGTCATTAGAGAAAATGCAACTCAAAACTTACAGTGAAATACTACTCTATGGCCATTAGGATGGCTATCATAAAAAACATAAAAAGTAACAAGTATAGGCAAGAACGTGAAGAAATTGGAGTCCTCATATGTTGCTTGAAGGAATGCGAAATGGTGCAGCCACTTTGGAAATGTCTGTTAGTTCCTTAAAATGTTAAATAAGTATAGTTACCATATGATCCACCAGTTCTATTTTTATGAGTATATATACGGAGGAGAATTAAAAATATATGTCCACACAAATTCATATAAACAAATATTCATGGCGGCAACTGAAGATCAGACAAACAAAACGTGGTCTGTCTGTGCATGGAAGTGGTGCAGGGTGAACCTTGGAAGCTTTGTTAGAAAAGAGGCCACATGCAAAGGGTCGCATATGGTATGATTCAACTTATAGGAAATGTCCAGAAGAGGCAAACGCAGAGAGGTGGACAGTAGGTTAGTGGTTCCCTGGGGCTGGGGGAGGGGATAGTGTGGAATGGCTATTTAATGAGTATGGGGTCTCTTTATGGGGAGATACAGTGTTTAGAATTATTGGTGATGGTCGCACAGCATGGCGAACATACTTGTACTAAAAGCCACCAAACTTTATGCTTTAAAGTGATTAAAGGGGTGAATTTTACCTCAAAAGGGAAAAAAAGAATGAGAAAGGTCCTATACACATCACCACACTACGCTGAAGCTGGCATTTGGGACTCCACTGTGACCCATAAGTGAAATGATTCGACCAGACAAGAGCTTTTTGTGCTCGGTTCTGGGAGTGGGTCAGACAAAAATACAAATAAAACACAGGCTCTGTCCCCAAGGCTGCACAGTCTCTTGGAGGACACAGGGACATACTTCACGAATCGGAACACATTCCAGAAGAGGCGAAGCAGCACAGTGGAGAGAGGCGGTTCTGGGGGAGTGCAAGGGAAGGAGTGTTTATGCTGAGTGAAGGAATACGGGAAAGCCTTAGAGAAGAGGAAAGGTTGTAACAGAGTTTTCGAGGAGGAGGAGGAGTTTGGGAAAGCAGAGAAGGTGGTGCATTGCAGATGGAGGGACCAGCTCGAGCAAAGGCCCGGAGACGTACAAAGCACACCTCAGAGATACGGTGTGAGCTATGGTTTCCCTCTGCTCCTGGTATTCTGCCATTGCTTTTTGTTAAATATCACAACCATTTCCACTTTGCTCCTCAGTCCTTGCCTCACAGACTATGAGCTTTTGATTTGAAAGGAAAGAAATGGAAATGTGGGCCCTGAGCCTTGGTGGGGTGTAGCAGGGTCCCCGAGGTTCCCTTGCTCTGTCCCCATCCTGCCTGTGGCTGCGGGAGCGCCTGGAGTCCATCGGGCCTGCAGCTCTGCCCCTGCCCTCTGTGTCTCCCACCTGGGAACCCGTCTTTGCAGCCCCGACGGACTCTCCCTGCCAGATGGATGGGCCCTGCTTCCCTCTTCGAAAGCCTTTTGCCTGATGGTGGCTTCTGCACTCTAGCCCTGCCCTCCCGCAAGGTGGAGGGAAAGAGGCTCATCTGTTTCCATCATGACCGGTCATCCGGTCTGGCCCCCTGGGCAGCTGCTTTTGTTGGGCTTCTATTCAGATTGTGAACCCATTGCCTCCAGTGGAGGGAGAAAAATAAGCCCTTAAAACAAGTGCTCTTATAGGAGGAGTTTGCTGCTTAATGAATTATTCAGTGAGGAGGGCTAAGCACACAGCATTCTGGAAGGAGAGGCATTTTCACTAGGAGTGCTGAGCCCCACAATGCCTCCTAGGTGATAAAGCTAACAGAGTGGTCCTCCAGAGCGTGTTTGACTGATATTTGCTCCCTGGTGCACTAAGCATAAGCCTGGTTTATTGTGTTTACATTTTCGTATCTTCAGAGCATGGCTGATCTAATGTAAACAGGAGGGTGCTGGACAGTGGAGGCATCTCAGAGCAGGCTTTTCCCCTAAAGCCAGGAATAATCCCCTGCCCCAGAGATCCAGTCTGAATCCAGTCTGATGAAATATTCAGTGTTCCCAAACCTCATCTGCTTCGGGGAGATCAGGACCGGGAGACAGACGTCTGGTCGCAGGCAGCTCTGCTCAGGATAGACTTGTCCCGCCCAGGGCGGATCTCCTTAGCAAATGAGGCCTTTGCGCCTGCCCTGTGCGTGCCAGTGACGACTGGGCCTGCCGCCCTGTGACCCCTGGGTAGAGAGTTGAGACCCAGGCAGCCTTGTAAATCTGCTGCCCCCAAATCCAGATGAAAAGAAACACAGATTTAACACTGACTTCTCCTTGAACCAGCTGATAATTTTTTTTAATGAACTTCTACTCCATCGTCTCCAGTTCTCCAAGGAATGAGTGCTCTGACAGCGCAGACAAGGACCAGATGTCCGGTGGAGGGTCAGTCTGTGCTGGTAGGAGAGAGGACACAGGAGGGGCAGCGGGCCTGAATGTCATTACTTGGAGGGGTCGGGGGGTCAGTGACAGTGGCAAGGAACAGATTTTTCCAGCCGCTTTCAGGCTGAGAGTTGAACTGCATAATCTGAATGCTTTTATCTGTTTCTGAAAATAGACAGGAATTTTTTCCACAGCCTGCTCCAATCTGGCCCTGGAGACGTGAGGGAGGATCGCCGGGAGACAGTTGTATGTAGTCCAGTAAGTACGTTGTGTGACGCCCCCCCCACCCCAACCGCCACCAACAAGCACTGCTCCGTGTTGGCAATATGGAGCCACATTTTCTTAACACCCCTCAAAGCAGGGAGTCTACTTTTCATTTTAACTTTTGTATAGCTTGTGATGGGCGGGGCTATCGTTTCTTACTTTTACTGAAATATACAGGTTAGATGGTTTTTGTGAGGTCAGGAGCACCTGTCCAGAGGGGCTGGTTCCTTAAGTCTGCACAGAATGACCTATGTGAGAAATGTAAACAAGACAAATGAAAAGAAGTGGTTTGACCAGAAATGACAGGTTATGGTTGTTAGCAATTCCACAGATCATACTCCCCACCTTTGTCCTGGATTCAGATGACAAAGAAGCATCACAAATTATCCACCAAGATTTTCTGGAAGGTTAACACTGGATTAAATCAGACTGCATCTCTCAGCAGCTGGTCCCTCTCATCTCAGATCAAAAGGATCTTGAATCTTCTAAGTGAACTGCTGTCAAGCAAACAGCAGGGGAATCTCTAATACTATTTACATAGCATTTTCTTTTCTCTAATTATGTATCGGTTTCTTCTTGGTACAAGACTATCTATAAATATGGAAACCAAGACACAGAAAAAGAAAGAAATGTTTAGGGTCGCACAGAGGGTCAGAAGTGAAACTCAGATCAGTGTATCTAGACATGGCCTCTACTTAGTTCCACAATCCTTTCTGCTCGCTGGTCACCCTCCTACCAAGAACAAGGAGTTATTTGTGCTAAGCATTAAGTGAAGCAGGCCAGTTTCACTGGTGTTTGAACCTGAAGAGTTTTGTGGGCTCAGAGGAAGTTGGTACCAGTCTTTGAGACTGGAGTTTATTTGTAAAGTTCCTCTAAAAGGAAACTTTGTTGTGAATAGAAGCAGGAGAAGAGCATGGGATTAATCCAGGATGCTGCCAGTATCCCGTGTCTCTGGGACTCCTTTGTGGCCCTCGTGACCCAAATACTCCATGGTTAACTCGGCATCACGAAGAGGAAAGAGCAGGAACGGAAACTCCCTCAGTTGCTTCCTGCAGGCTGACGGCTCTTCTCCGAGACCTCTCCTGTTGGGAGTCGAGTTCTTTCAGCTCTAGACCATGCTGAGTGTCAGGTGGAATGTCTCCATTGTTGCTCCCCTCCGCCCCCCACTCTGGTTCTGCAGTACCACAGAGACGGCCGCAGTCCACAGGAAGTTGGTCTCATCTTGCCGCGCGTACACAGTGCTGTGTGTCTCTCCAGTTGGCAGCCACCCGATCATCAAGGAGAAGAAGGAGTGGCATAGAGATCAGAGGGAGAAGGAGAGTGAGTGGAGAGAAGAAAAGAAAGACGGAGAAGACTCTAACAGAGAGGCAGGTGACACATTTGAAAGTAACAAACTGAGCCAAGGAGGAAAAGAGAGCAGGCTTCACAGAGAATGTGGCATACGGGCCTCTGTGCTGACTGTCCCACCAGGTGTGATAGATCAGGACAAATAGCCTAATCCTCCCAGGGACAGTCAAATAGGACCAAACACGGGGCTTCAAAGGAAGGAAAAGCAGGAAGTCCATTGGTTTCAGATCCTCAGAAAAGAAGTGGGCTGGCATCTGACGTACCCTACTAGGCTGCAAGCCCCACGCACTCATGGAAGCCTCCCGATGAGGTCATGTGACTGGGACTGGTAAAAGGCTCTAGTTCGGTGGCACAGGGACCAGAAGCTTTATCAACATTATTCTTCACTTTTCTCAGCACAGCCTGAGATGGGGTAGAATTGCATTCTTTTACAATAAGTAATTTGATGGACAGAGAAAAATGTACAGAGAGAGGACAGACATTAAAAAGATACTCAATGAAAGAAAAACAAATGAACGAACATTGTTCTCCTTGATTCATTGAGAGACATATGGTGTGACGGAAAGCGCGTGGGCTTTGACACCAGAAAGATGTCCTGCCTTGGCCACTTGGTGACCTTGAGCACCTGCTTTAACATTTTTGATTCTTGGGGGGTTTGTTGTTGTTTTGCCCACGAGGGAGAATAATACCTTCCATGCAGGTTTTTGTAAGAACGGGCAGTGACCTGTATGGTACTTGGCATTTGGCAGGTCAGTAACTTTTAGCTGTTATTTTTTCCTACTGTCTGTTAGCTCCCACCAGCTGCAGGAGGACTAACTTCTCCAGGGAGCAGATTTTCTAGAAGTCCCACCTCTTTAGTTATATCTGTTCTGAGGTATTTTGGAAAGGTACCAAGAATATTTGGTCAAAGCTATTCCTTTTTTGGTCCAGATAGGTGAACAATTGGTTCAGAGTTATGATGGATGCAAACTGGTGGCAGAGATGAGACAGGGACAGCTGGGTCCCTAGGCAGCCCTCCGCCCCTGCCTGCCTGTGTGCTGGTGATCCTGATATTATTCCTTGAACACAGTCAAGTGCATTTTTGCCACCAGATTGACAGCTGGGTGGCACTTCTTAGCGATAACTCTTCAGAAGAAGAGTTACAGGTAACATAATGGACTGGAGGTCTCCGCTCCTTATTCCTCTCCTCTCCTCTTACCACCCCGGGTCATGGTGCAAAGCAGATAAGCCATCTCTTGGGGACAAACAGGGGCAGCGGCGAGACTTCTGCTCACAGTGCGCTGGCGGCTCCCTCAAGCTTTTGAGTGAGCTTTGCCTGCTTCCTGGGAGGAGGCAGTAGCAAGGACTTGCCCTCTGAGAGGCTTTGTCTGTGGGAAGCTGCCCCATGGCCGAGTAGGAAGTCATCTAACCCCTCTCTGCCAGCGAGCAGGTTCAGAACTGGCCAGGACCTCGGGGCAGCTAAGCTATTAACAGAAAGGAAATTATGCCTGAGGCCCTGGAAGTTCCTTGTAATATAGAGTACACTTCCGTAGACCTTGAAGCACTTCTAGAAAGCCTTGTGGAAAGAAGGGAGGGAGAGTTAACCTCAAACTGGGCTAGTTGTAGAGGTGGGATCTGTATGGTATTTCCCCTTCTTTTTTCAGGGTCCAGAGATCCTGGGAGGTAGACGTCAGGAGGGCAGAGTATTTGAAATAAAAGGAGAGAAAGTTCCCGGGGCCAGCCCTGGGCTCGATCTTGCCTCAGGACTGAGTTCTATCATGGGCCTCCCTCTCCCTTCAGTTACTAAGGAGAGAAGAGAGCCAGAAGTGGGTGACAATGGAGGAAAACCTCTGTGTCCTACAAAAAGGGGTCTCTTCTCATGCCCAGGCAAGACTTGTCTTTTCGAAAAATAGGTGCTTGGGTGCTGATTGGGGCAGAAATTATTTCCTGATGACAGCTCAGAGTGTCCAAATGGTCTTCCCTTTTTCATCCGGGCATGGAGCCCTTTGCGTTGGCCAGATGTTTTTCGAGGCTGTGATGGGGCGTCCTACCACATCTAGGACAGAGGCCTCCTTGACCTCAACCTGGGAGGACTTCCTGTGTGTTTATGCAAGGGCAGGTGCGGCCACCATGGGGACGGCCAGGGGTCCTTCCTGAGCCAGGGCCCGCTAGGGTTCCAGGCCCTCTCTCCTCCCTTAAGGGTTCCCTCAAGGATCACCTCCATGCCCACTTTCCCTCCACTAGCTCACATACGGTGCCAAGCTCAGGGCCTGCAGCTGGGAGGAGGACCACCTGCCCACTCCTCTTTTTCACACACACATGCTTACTCACTCACAGGTCTGCAGGATCTCCATTCTCAACCGGCTCTATCAACCCAGCCTCATTTCCTTCCACAGCAGGACCCTGGAGCCCAGCGCCGGGCTGGTGTGCACTCTAAAAATAACTGTGTCCGAGGTGATGAATGGCAAGGCATTCGCTCTCCTTTTCCTGCCTGAGTGCCGGGGCCTGAATCATGTTGGGGAATGACATTCTGTTAACACAAGCACTTTTGTTTCCTCCCTTGCTCTCTCACCATCCGGTGGGGCCCTGGGCAGGGCTGGCGTTCAAGTCTTAAAGCTTCCCTGGGGGCCCATTTAATACCTCTATCCATGGACATTAAGGAAAGCTGTAGACAGAAATGGAGCAATGCATCCTGGGCCTCCCCGGGGGGTACTAAGGATGGGCTGTGGCACCGACAGGTCCCCACCTAGACTCACAAAAAGTGGTCCAGGGCGCTAAGCGCCCAAGCCAGCAATGCCCCCAGGGCCAGGAGCCGGCCTCAGCTTAGCACCTGACTCAGGTAGCCACTCAGGGAGTGGCTGTAGAAGGAAAAGCGAAGGAGACTCAGACAGATGACTGAGAGGAGGTAGCCACATGCTTCCAACAGAGGGAGGCTCTAGTGCCACCTGCGATCAAACTTGCTGGAAAGTAGACTTCTCAGCAATGCAGGGGAAGCATTTTGGGAAACATTCTAACATTTCCCAAATTAAAGAAAGTTTGACTTCTTTAGACCTTGTTCTAAGTTCTAGGAAACCAAGGATCCTACTCGGCTTACCTTTGCATCCCCATGAGCCCCAGCCTTGGTGCCTGACTCAGAATAAATATTTAGTAAATTTTGTTTTGAAGAAATAGCACCTACAAGATCTCAATAGGAGAACTAGGGTCATTCACCCTTGAAAGAACAAAGAGGGGGCTTCTGGTATCTAGAGATTTAGGCAAGGTGCACAGGCTAGGCCTTGAGAAAGATCATTCCTTATAGCCTGTCTTTCAGCCTTGAGTCCATCCCAGGTCAAGGCCACTCGGGGGCCCATGATCCTCCAGAGCAAAGGATTTGACAGCTCATCCCCCTCAGACAGAAACCAGCTCCTCCTGTGAAGCCTTACTTCTCGTTTCTAACTCTCATTTCTATTCTTCTGTACCTGGATTTGTTTGGGGTCTTGTTTTAATGGAACCTGTTTAAAATGACCTTTTTGACCTTTGGTTGAATAGAACCTCTTAACCTTTAACCGATTCTTAAGCAAAATGACAGAACTTTGGGCTTAAGCAGTGAAACCATAATCAGACGCCTAGCAAATTCACATTTCTCAGTTCCGAAAGAGTTTCACTGTTTATTGTTGGAGTAGAATAGAATGTAAGCTGCGCTCACATATGTGTTACCCATAGACCCACATGTGGTCATCTCTCCCATCTGTGTGTCTGGAAGGCGGCTGGAGATGGGTCTTAGCAGTTGCCTGCGTGTTCTCCTGCTCCCTGTGCACCCCCCACCCTGCTTTTTCTCAGAATTGCACACATTCCTGTCCTGAAATGAGAAGAGGAACATGTGAGGTGAGGACGTTTGGTCTTTTTCATGCCTGAGACCCAAAGCATACACCCCTGAGGAGACCAAGAGAGGCTCCTGAGCTGGCGGTGGAAGACGGCAGCAGACTGGCCCCCACTAGCCAGCAGAGGCTGACACACTGAGCCCAGGGGACGCAGACGTGCTATGTATAGCAGGAAAAGACACAAGTCAGGTAGGCAAGAGGCTGAGATGGGAGGATCTTCAGGGCAGAGAGACAGGCAGACACCATGGGAGACTCTCGGATTCCAGAAATGGGGGCCTAGACACACATGCCCACTGAGGGTCAGAAATTGGTGGAGGGGTGGAGGGACTTGGGACTAGGGGAGGAGGACCAGCTGGGGCTCTGCCCCCAGCTCTCAGGGCACCTGAAGCATCTTCACTGGTAAAATGAGGAGGCAGGATGGGTCTCTAATTCTGCGAAGCTGACACAACATGCTTTTGTATTCACAGCCCTGGAGGGAATCTGTCAACAGAAAGAAAAGAAGAGCCTCTGTGGCTCCCCAGGCTGGTGGTGGGATGGCCCACGCGGATCCTAAGGAGAAGGCTTCCCTCTGCCCTTTCGATTTGTTGATGCTTTCTCCACAGCCCTTTGGAATGGGTCAGAGCTCTTTCTCCTAAGGTGCATGGACTCCACTTCTGTGGTTAAAGCCCCATTAAATCCCCCATACCACCTCCTTCTCCAGTCTTATTCTTGCCCTCTTCTCCCAGGTGTCCTTAGACTGGCTTTTTCCCTCTGACTTCCCTGGCTACAGAGTGATTGGGAACCCTTCCTCCAGGTTCCCTGGGCTCTTGCTAGAGGTCAGGTGTGTACTGACTTCGGAATGCCCCCATGCCACCTGAGCAGTGGGCTTTCCCATTCTCCCACTCACAGGCATTCCCCTGGTGGTGCGCCCCTAGTCTGGGGCGTCCCTTCCCCAAGTCAGTTTCTTGGAGGGTCTCTGGGGTCCTGCCTGCTCTCCAAACTCTTTCTGTGGCCATTCCCTGAAGGCTTTTACTGAACCCACCCATTCCCAGTGGGTTTTTTGTTTGAGCACATGACTCTTTGTATCTCTGCCTTCTTGGTCTTGCCCCTTCTCCAAGACTTCAATTTTCTATTTTTACTGTAGCTCTTACACTAATGGCCAGAGATAATATAGAAAGGTATCACCAAGGACCAAGAGATCATTTGCAACTGAACGCCCCATTCCCCCTGCTCACCCCAGTTATCTTGTTTGAGAAAGGGTCACCACGCAAACCCTAAGGGTCTGGGGAAACTCAGCCCCTGCAGGTTAAGAAGGTTAATAGATCCCAGGGCCGTTGGCAGAGTGGAGCCAAAACTCATCTCCCAGATATTTCTACAGAGGCGCTTGGAAAGCTCCGGCACTGACGAATGCGGTGCATTTGCACGTGGTGCCTTCTTCCTTCTGCGAGATCTGCTCTATTTGTAGAGTCACTGCCTGGCTGAGGGTTGGCTGCTCAGGAGGCTTTTGATCTGCGTGTGAAAGAGCAACCACATCCAGTCCAGCAGGCAGCCCAGGCAGCCAGCTCTCTCTTTTTCTTCTGTTTCCAGATAACATCCAAACAGCCCTCTTCGGATGGGTGCCAGAGAGTAACTATTCTAAAATTAAGGGCGAGGATGGTCTTTTCAAAAAGTGTTTTGAAACATGGGCCCTGTAACGTAACCTTCCCCTCAGTGTGGCAGGCCTTCTAGGGTATAGCCTGTCTGCTATCCCAGTTTCCTTGCTGCAGAGAAAAATGAAAGGCCAAGGGACTGTGAGAGCACCTCCTGGGGCTGGGGCTGGTTGTGTGACAAGTCATTAATTTCAGGGCACAGCCTGGCCGCTTGCCAGGCCCTCCAGTGTAAGTCCAGCCAAGGAGAAACCCGAGCAAGGTGGATGCCCCCCAGCATGGGTGCCCTGCTTCCCAGCCGGAGCCTTTTGGCATCTTGTGGATGTGCACGATTAATAATGCTTTTGAGGACAATGATTTGGTCTCATGGAAATAGGAGAACTGGTCCAGGATAACATCTGGTAAACTTTGATGTTTCTCCCCAAAGTTATCTTACACTCACATAGGATCACTAAACAGCTGCATGATCTTATTACAGAATCTTCCTCGAGAGCCAACTTGTCATGGATTCCATCCCCAAATTCCAGAGTTTCTCAAACAAAAGGAGCCCTGGTGAGAACGGAGCTGCAATTGGCCAGTGGGAGAGACATGGAGATCGCCAAGAGTGGGAGCACCCTTTCAGATGGTTCGGTCCAATCCTCCTCATTTTGTACATCAAAAAAAAAAAAAAAATCCCTGAGATCCAAAAAGAAGACAGAACTTCCTAAGGTCACCCAGTAGAAGCGCTGGGATAAGAGAATGAGACCTTTGAACCACAGAACACGAAGGCCCAGGTGTCTCAGGGACACCTTTCCTTGAAGAAACTCTGGGGGTAAGATCCTAGGTCAGAGGGGCAGTAAGGAAGCTGTATCAACAGAGTCAGCCAAGAGGAGAAATCTGCCAAGAGGAGGAAGAGGTGGTAGCAAAGTTCAGCTTTTACTAAGCCATAAATACAAAGTTAAAAGAGGTGAAGCAAGTCATCTAGGTCTGTGACATTACTGAGAACATGTACCATTGAGGTCTTTTTAGAGGATCAAAGAGAAAGAGCAAATAGTGTTAGTCATGTAACAGTCTTAAGCATCTACTTTGCATGGGACACTGTGTTAGGTGCTACAGGGGATCGGGGTAAGCGTGGCCGAGAGCAGTGGTTCCAAGAGCTCGTCCGGTGCCTGTCAATGACAATGTTTTTACAGGGACTCACATGCGCACGTGTGCGGTAAGGAATGGAGCATTCATAAATTTATTTTCTTTATTCTGAGATCATGTCTGTCTTTCTGGACTGTTGTGAGTGCAACTTTCTCAATTTTAAACAATATCCTTTCAATAAAATGTTGGCACCATAATCAGGGTTGTCTCAAGTGTTTCTGAAATTATTGGTTGATGAAATCCAAAAGTCTGGTAGCCACAGTTGTGGTCAAAAGGGCATGGACTCTAGGGACAGACAGATGCGGGTTCAAACTAGGATGCAGCTATTATTAACTACGTGACCTTGGGAAAACTTCTCAACGTTCGTTTTCAAGTTTCCTACCTGTGATACGAAAAGCCCCCAGAACAGTGGGGGCTTCCTGCGGAAGTCCTCGCAAATAGTCCCCACCCCTTAGACGCATCCATGTGTTTGCATATGCACGTGTGGACCCACAGTGTCCAGGGTGCTGCGTGGGAAACAGGAGACCTTTAGTAGCCTTTGCTTTCAAGGAGCTAAAAATGTTGCTGGTAGAACAGTCTACCTCACCAGAAATCATGGGGGAGACCTAAAGTCCAGCATATCTTTCCTCTTCTCCTGAACAGTTTCTTTAGTTTGGTAACAGTGACAGAATTTTCAGATACTGCCTTCGAAAGTTCACATTATATTGTTTTTTCCATGGCTGGTTTCAGTTTTTACAAAGGTTCCCTCAAAACTCATAAAGCTCTCTTTAGAACCTCATAAAGTTTCACCTGTGGATGTTTATTGCCCACAGGACGTGAGCTATGTCCGTTTGGTTTTGATAGATTTACCATGATTATACTTGGGCCCCCATTTCCCAACCAGCCTTGTAAAAAATGGCTGCCTCTGGATTGAGCGCAGGGGCCTCTCTCTTTTGTCCCCCAGTGAGCTTGGCTTATGGGCAATGATTCTAACTCCCACGCTTCTGAAGTCCAGCAGTTTGCTAGTGTTCTCCGTGAAAGCCACGCCAAGCTCATTCTGGTCTCCCCAGGCCCCTCCCAGGTGCCATTCCCAGGAATCCATCCACAAGAATTTGCCAGACTAAACAGGGAGAGGACTTTGAGAGCAGACAAGGATGTTAAAGACGTTCCCGCTAAAGTCAAGGGCAATTCTCAAGTGCGTAAAAACAATCCAAACTAGTTCCTTCCCCTATTGACCCAATTCAAGTCCCTGGTACATTTACCCATTGGCTCTAGTCCTATGTGAGAGCCCTATATTTATAGAAAGACATCATGTCTCTCCTTAACCTCCTTTTTTTCATGTCAAATGCCACCCTACTTCATTGAATCTGACTTTAAGGACATGGTCTCCAGGCTCCTTGCCATCCTGGTTGGTCCCCTTTGAGGTTCCCATTTGGGTGTGTCTGAACCACACTGGAGTTAAGAAGCTTCTTTAGGGGTTCTCAACTCCAGTGTGGTTGTTCCCAGGATGAAGGGAGGCACTTCAGGGGTAGCCAGACAGAGTCCAGAGCAGAGAACGCATCGCAGGCTGTGGGGCCAGGCCACTGAGTCAGAATCCAGGACCAAGTACAGAGATGTCGGCTGGGATCAGACAGAGAGGTCACTGTGAGTGAAGGCAACTCAAATCTTTAAGCCCCATGCCCTGGGGGTATGGGTCCTGGGTAATAACAGTGATGTGAAGGAGGCCAGAGAAGCAGTCTGACTTGCTTGAACAATTAAAATAAATTAATTAAATATATATATATATGAATTATTTGGGGATTATTTCATAATGTATATAAATAGTGAATCACTAGGATATACCTGAAACAAATAGGATACTGCATGTCAATTACACATCAATGAAAAAGTAAAATAAAATCTTAGCACAGGAAAAGTGAACAGGAAGGAGAACAGTGACTGTGGGCCCGAGGGGCTCACTAATGAAAACCTGAACCTTATGACCCCAATTTGGGCTGTTCAGAGGACTCGTGACTTTTTCCCCACTTGTGCTTTTTTTTAAAATTTTTGAATGTTTCTGACAGTTGAAGTCAATATAAACATACTACTGTAAACATAAAATAAAAATAGATCCAAAATTTGAAAAAAATTGTTATTTAATTCTAAGCTTCAAGAGAATGTTGACTGATCCCCTGTCTGTTTTCTCAGGACTCCTCTGCCTGGAAGGGCAGACGCCCACCCTGCCTCATCTTCATTTCAGCACAAAGGAAACTTACTGGCTCGTATAACTCCAAGGTGCTGGGACCGAGAGCAGCTTCTGCTTCAGAAACTGTTGGACCCAAGCAACTAAGCTGCTATTCCTCTCAGGCAAATGTTTCCCAGGGGGAGTGTCTAGCAGCTTTGGTTCACTTCCTCCCAGCTTCATATTCAGCTGAAAAATGAGCTTATGTTTCCTAAGAATCCCAATAATAAGTCCCAGAATTGGGTCATGTGCCTATTTCCAGAGCACAGAGGTGGACCTCTTACCATGTAAGTCAGGGGCGGATGGAGGGAAGTGAGATCCAAGGGAAGCATAGATGGGAGGTGCCCACTGCTCTGACTCACTTCAGATCAGCTCTGGATTTGGGGACATCAGACCTGGGGTGGAGCAATGGGAAGAGCAATGAGTTGAGGGTGTCTGCCACCTGGAAGACCTCTTTGTCAAAAGTCAGCCCAATACTTCAGACATGGTCCAACCAGTGAGGGGCATAAAGGGATGATCTGGCCTTTAATGAAAGCCCTGGCCTGGAATACTCATGACCTTCTGAAGCTTCAACACAACTGCTGGGCATTCAGGTAATGCCTTTGGAACCTCTGCACATGAACTGTCATTAAGGCACTTGGTCCCCATCCTTTCTCAGTTGAAGTGTTATATAGATTTTGCTTGCAGTTCTGTCTCTTTCCAACTTCAGGGGACATTTTCTGGGATGAAAAAAAGAACACTTAATGCAATCTTGCCTCTCTTCATCTTTTTCTTCCTTTGGAAATAATCACAACAAAGCCTTGTCATAATTTAAAAATTCAAAGCTTGGCTGGGCTCAGAAAGCCAGGGTCTAACTTGGACTTGGACATCAATGCCAGCCTGAACTCAGCTCAGCCTGGATCCTTACTGAGTTGTTTATCTTCTCCTGATCTTAATCTTAACACTCTTGTGAAGGCTTTTTGGGAGAGGGTCACTCCTCAGAAAGGGGACTTCTGGAGAGGCCGAATGACTTCATCCTTCCTGCCCCCAGGCATCCTGCTTTCTTCTTTTTGGACCAGAATCCTACCCTTTCCTGTCCTCCCTTTCAACCCTCCCACTTTTTGAGCTGGAAATTTTCCTGACAAAGTCAAGTCATAGGTGACAAATCATATATGGGTCACATTCCCGAGTCTCCTCCTCCTCTTGGCTACCCTTAGGCTAGGGAATCTGGAAAACATCAAATGATTCAGAAAGTAAGCTGAATGGGTTCTTCATGCTTCACATTTAGTGCCAGGGAGGAAAGAAGTGGCTGATGCAAGAATTGGACACAGTAGGAGTTGAGCAAAAAGATAAAAAGAACCCAACCATAGCTAAGTACCCCTACATAAAGTACTTAGGAAAAGTACTCAATGGAGACCCATGCATGGCTGTGGATTTTTAGTTGCTGCTCTCTGCCTGTAAGATGTGATCAAAATCTATAGAACTTCTCTCCTCGTGACTAGGGCCACTGAGGAAGAGAGTGATGACATAGGCTTTTGGGGCAGCTGGCTTTGGGCTCAGCAAAATCTTAGGGTTGCACAAATGTCACTTATCCCATCCACCAGTGACAAGCATGCAACTAGGGAGGAAAGGCCCTCATGGGGCAGCAACTTGCATCCATACTATTCTTCAGCATGAGTGGTGACAGCAGCCTACAGGCATGGTCTTTGGGAGTGAGCAGCCCTCTGTCCTGTCAATGGAGAAGACTCACCGAGTCCCTGCTGACTGCTTTCTCCCAGGACCACCTCTTCACCCCCATGTCACATCTCTCCAGTCGGTCCACTGATCTTTCCAGGATCCTGCTCCATCCTGTTCCCACCCAGCTCTCAATGCGGGGGACCTTCTCTGGTTTCTCTGGGGCAGGGGTATCAAACTCATTTTCATGGGACGCTGCATCAGCCTCATGGTTGCCCTTGGAGGGCCGAATGTAGAGCTCCGTGCCCCTAGTTAAGGAGTAAGTTACATTTATATTATTTCCTAAAATTATTTTGGCCCTTTGAAGGCAACTGTGAGGCTGGTGTAGCCCCCGGTGAAAATGAGTTCGACACCTCGAGTCTGGGGGAAAGGTCTAAAGTGGGGTGATCTGGTCTTCCCATGCTCTTTCCAGTCAATGTCTTTAAAAACATTATTGATTGATTTTAGAGAGAGAGAGAAGGAGGGGGAGAGAGAGAGAAGGAGGGAAGAGAGAGAAACATCAATTTGTTGTTTTACCTGACATATAGGGACAGTGCTCTACCCAACCAAACTACCCGGCCAGCGCTCTCTGTCTTGTTCCTGCAGGGCTGCCCTCTTTGACGTCATGGGCCTTTTCTTCTTTCAAT